GGGGTAAAGTAAAATGCGCTTTTCTTCATGTTAATAAAAGTAAATGTGAATTCAAAATAGTGCATTGTAATCAGCTTTTCAAGCTGTATGGAACGTTGTGCTTGTTATTGGCTCAAACTGCCAGCAAGTTCAGGACGAAGCAATGTTTAAAGGTATTTTCGCAAAAATAACTATTTTCACCAACTTCGCATATTTTTTAATGCCTCCCTCCCTACAACTATATCTTGGTATTTATATTTTCGAGTAATATAAACATAGGACTATTGCTAGTAAAAGAACGGAGGAGGTTATATTCCTAGTTTTTGAGAAATTTGCGTCGGGAGTCAGTTGGTCAAATTTCAAATTTTTTGAATAAGAACCCTTGTATTTGTATACGATGTAAATTAATCACGTACCAGTGTTGGTATATACATATACAGTGTTCGAATACGAAGAGAAAAAGAAAGATCAGGGTAATTGTGTACGGTATCACTGCGGTCAGAGGTCATCAGTGAAGAAATACTACAGTTGTCAAATCTTGCATACAAAAGTGCTTTATTACAAAAATGGCTCCGAAATCATCTTGTCAACATCCCACGAGACATGCGGAACGGGACAAGCCGTCTAAATGGACAAAAGCAGTGTCGGCTGCTTTAGCATATTATATGACAAATCGTTATAACAAATATGTAAGTTTAAGTAAATTCAAAATTAAAGAAGGCGATCCGTTATGTGTATCATGCCTGATTTATGAAGAAGGTTGTTTGAAGAGCAAAAATAAGGAATTGGAGCAAGAGACAGATAAAGATGTCGGTCAGTCTAGATCAAATGTCGTTGATTCGCTCGAGCAGCTGTAGAACCCGCTAGACAGGTCTTAGCGACAGGAAATTCGTTCTCGCTTCGATCAAGAAAGAACAATGTACCACCGAGATCCGAGCCCAAATCATCTCCGATAATATCCGTAGCGGAGTCTGTTGAAGAGGGCAGTACCGAACTAGATAGCGTTATTATGAATGACAAAAGGAAAAGATTACAAACATCATTTAACAGTTTGCTCGAAGCAGCCAACGTATTACCCGTAAAAGATACGTAAGATGCTGTTTATCTGTGGAATTGCATCGAGAGGAAATATGTGCGGTCCGTGCATACTCGCCGTTGTTTGGTCCGTTCAGCTATCGACTTCAGGAAATCAACCAAAACGGAAGATTTTCGGAAATATACGAGCTTATAGCTCTGCGCAATGTTCTGAACGGTGAGATTCTGAGTAGCTTCCCAAATCAGTACCGAAATTGGAATCCAAACCATTTTGTACCTCTTCTTCTGCCACCATCTCCATCGACGCAGTTTTTCAAGCACAACTTGGACAAATGAACTACGGCACACGCAAAATATTAAGCAGGTAAACGCACTGGACTTGATAGAATTCCATAGAAAGGTATTTCGATTTTTAGACTCCAACAAAAATTACCGTTGAAAACAACGAAACGATCAATATTCGTGTGTCTGAGTTTGCTCTACCATGTAATAATCAGTCTTACTCACCTATGTCTATCATAGTTTCTCTCTCAACGGATGAGAATCGCGGGAGAGCTCGTCGAGCTAAAGATGCCCAGCGAAAACGTCGCGAGCGATTAGGTGAGAAGAAACGGGAATCCGAGTGTGAAGTTGACAGAAATCGAAGGGCCGAATCGCGTTCTGGTCAAATCGAAGTTGAACGCGAAGCCGGCCGTACCGCTAATCGACAGCAAATGATCGAATCACGTTCTTGTCAAACAACAAAAACAAAGGAAAAAAACCCAAAACTCCACTTCTTGACTCGAGCGATTCGAAATGCGGAAGTAAAACAGACTAAAACCGTACCACTGCCTTGGCCATCACGTATTCCGTACGACGTAAAGCGCTCATGTTACGCAAATTTTTTAGAAATGACTTCAATCTTCTCTTTGGCTGATACCCCTATCATCATTTGGGGGAGCCCCATTATCAACCTTCAGAATGGGAACCTTTTATGAACCTTTTTGCTATTTAGATTCAGTCTTCTCAAGCCTGACTATCGGATTCATAGCATCAACCCTGGAAGTCGACGAACATCTCTCATGTTTATCCCACACTCTATAGACACCACGCAATATGTGCTATTTCATATTTAATTTTAGTGAGCCAAGCAAGCAAAAAAATGGCGGAATGGATATTAATAGTGGAGAATCGGCATTAAGTGATGATGATGATATTAGTGATATTGATGACAGTGTTGAAGGAGAGGACAATTGGGATGATGAAGTATTGTGTGAGGAGACAAATGGGCATACAACAACAATTACATCAGAAGATCAAAAGAAGATTGGAACGATTATTGAAAAGATGAGAACAACGATAAAGATGATTACCAAGTAAAAAACGTATAATGTTATAAGAAAAGGAGCGATGTCAGTTTTGATCCTCTGAGTGCTTAAGAGACGATTCGCGACAAAATTGAGCAGTCTGCTACAGACACCTAACATGGTCAAATTTTAGATTTCGTTTATTCTACGCTCAATCGATAGAGTATGTCGAGGAACCTATTAATCTAAGGTGACACTGTTTTTCGACTTTCCATTATCGAGTTAGACGATGTCGAAGTTTACTCGAACGAGAAAAATGAGCAGTTTCGTATTCGAGTCCACTGCCGGCCATTTCAAGTTCGATAATTCTGAACGACGTCTCATTCGAAAGAGAATTGCATTGTGCACCAGATAGTGTGCTTTTCGAGTCGGAGAAGTACTTTTTCCTAGTCCGAAATGGTACTTCAGTCAAGTCAAACCAACTCGAAAATCTCGTTTTCGATTTTTTTCCAGATGATACCCCTCTTGGAAGTCAACTAAACTACCTAGTGAAAAAAAATGAGCGTGATTCCGCAAGTTCATGCGGGAAAAATGAAACATTCTCACGCGGGAAGTGAAAGTCACTTTTCCTGCCGCATTCTGCAGGAATCTTTCAAAAATCTGAAGAACTCCGTTCTTTTCTTAGGGAAAATTCCCGCCCAGTTTAAGGCATTTACGACGAAAAATCTCGGCAGAATTCTTCTCTTTTCCCGATGTAGAAGAATTCTGCAGAAATTTTTCGTCGTAAATGTCTTAAACTCGGCGGAAATTTTTGCGCAGAATTCTGCGGAAACATT